TAAACCTGTCGCATCCCCATGAGCTAGGACTCTAGTGGACCCCTGACCTGACCCCCAGTATGGAGCCAAAAGGTAAGTAGGGCCCATAGTGGGTGGATGCTAGATAGAGAGGGCAGCTGAGTGGAGCTAAGGAAGGGTCACCCATGGCTCCTACTTAGCCCAGCCCACTAGGGAGCCGTGCAAACAGGCATGCTCTGGGCCCGGCATGCGAGTTTGCATGTGGAGTTCCCACAGGCGGGCAAGCGGGAGGGTCTATTGGTGGGCACTCTTTACCTCTATGCAGTGGCGGGGCTGGGGGTGCTGGCCTGGTGGGGGGCACTTGGCCCCCCAGTGGCACTTCTGGTTTTGCCACTGGCACTTCCAGGCTCAGCGATCAGCTGCAGGCGGGGGGAGGGGGCGGGCGGTGCGCGCAGCACAAATGTTAGTATTGGCTCCTGGGTGCCGGAGACCCATGGTACACCACTGCCTCTACATGCCCCTGGTGGCGATGCATAGCTCATTCCGTGCCTCTGGCGCTCCTGGGCAGCTGAAGCCCCACATGCCGTAGGATAATCCTCCAGCAATGGAGCCCAGGTACCCCACTCCAGGGTGAGTTCCAGGGACTCAGGGAAACCCCCGGCTGCTTGGCAGCCTGGAAGGCCAAGGGATCCCACTGCAGACAGCTATTTGAGCTTGTCTGCTAAGCCACTGCAACAGCACCTGCAGGGACCACGTGGGGGTAATCCCAGACACTCACCTGGTCTACTACCTAAACAACCACCTAGGAGGCTGTGTGACCCAGGTCTTTCCCGCAGACATGGTAATGGGTACGCACCACACTCCGAGGCTTCCAGGTCTGGATGGACCACACACCCTTGGTACCACAGAGGTCTTTACCCAGAAATAGCCTATGGTCCCAGCCACCACACAGACTGAGCCCTTGACTCCAGGCTGAAAGGGCTGCCTGGCACGTCTGCTGGAGACTGGGAGCTGGGGCACTGGCACCCCCACTTGTGGGATGTATTCACTAGTGGAGACTCTGGAGGGCCGGGTGAGGGAGCTCCAGGAGGAGAGGTGAACAGGCTGTGTGCTATCAGGGAACACAAGGCGGAGATTGACACATACTGCCTGGCCTTGCACCCAGAGAAGGACACCACGGAAACCAGGCAAAAGTACGGGCATGAACAAGATGCCCCAACTGACGGCGGGTGGAAGTTGGTCACTTCAGGCCCCAAAGCCACTAGACGTGTCAGTTGCTCCACCAATAGCCCTGCACAATAGCTATGCAGTATGCAGCCCTCCCAGCATTGATGAATGGGGCATCTGTGTCCTTTGCATTGCAAGCAGGACAGGAACAGCCGCCCCACTAAGGATGCTACGAAGGGTGATTGTCGTGGGAGACTCCATCCTGTGGGGCACAGAAGGAGCCATTTGTCATCCAGACCCTCTTGCTCAAGAGGTCTTCTACCTTCCAGGAGCCAGGATCCGAGATGTTACAGAAAGGATCCCTAAGCTGTTCGGCCCTACGCACCACTGCCCCATGCTCTTTGTCCATGTTGGCGGATGGCGTCACCATGTAGTCTTTGGATTTCTTGACCTTGGCATGCAGTTCAATGGCAGTGGTCTACACACAAGCTCTTCTCTATGAGAATCGCTGACTTGCTGAGGGCTTTAAACTAGGCATGTCTGGGGAAGAGGGGGGAGGTCCCACTGTTATACATGAATCCACTGCTGTACATGAATCCTCTTTACATTAACGACTCGAGAGAGGGCATCGATGTAGTGCACCCTCAGGTGAGCACCAATGCCCTAAGATACTCACATAGTGACAAAAAAACTAAGGTGACCAGATGGGAATTCAGATGCTTTTACAGGAATGCAAGAAGCATGGCCTTTATGGGAATGCCAGAAGCATGGGCAACAAACAGGAGGAACTGGCTCTCCTCCTGGCAGATAAGGAATTTGACCTCATTGGGCTGACGGAGACCTGGTGGGATGAGATGTATGACTGGGCAGTGGATATCGAGGGCTATAGGGTCTACAGCAAGGATCGAGTTGGGAAGAAGGGAGGAGGGGTGGCTCTCTATGTGAAAGAGCAGTACCTCTCCTTGTAGGTCAGGTTTGATAGCAAGGAGAGGTCCCTTGAGACACTCTGGGTCAAGATACGAGGGGGTTCAGGAGAAGGAGACCTGATGGGAGGGAGGTCTGTAGTAGACTCCCACCAAAAAGAGGAGAATGATTAGGAATTCTCTAAAGAATTGACTGAGGCAGCTAAAGACCTGATTGTCATGGGTGACTTCAACTACCTTGACAACTGTTGGGAGGACCATTCGGCAGGCTCCAGCAAGTCAGCCAATTTCTTGGCAGCTAATCGATGACCTGTTCCTGTCACAAGTTGTTGAACGACCAACTAGGGGTAAAGCCAGTCTGGACTTAGTGCTTACCAAAGGGGAGGACATGGTAGAGGACCTGAAGATTGGAGGTATTCTGGGTGACAGTGATCACAATCTGATTAGGTTCACCATGCACCAGAAGGCTAGGAGCCCAATTAGTAGAACTAAAGTCCTAGATTTCAGGGTAGACTTCAACAAACTTGGGAGGCTAGTTAGAAAGGCCCTCTGCAACCAGTGACTGGACAATTTGGGAGTTCAGAAGCAATGGTGCCTCTTCAAGGGAGCAATTCTTACTGCCAAAAAAGAGGCTATTCCCACGTGATCAAAGAGCAGGAAAGGAGACAAGAGACCTGCTTGGCTCAACAGGGACATTAGAAAACTTCTGAAAAAGAAAAAAGACACATATAATCAATGGAATAAAGGTTCAACCAGAAAAGAGTTTGCTTATACAACCAGGCTCGGCAGGCATGAGATACAGAAAGCCAAGGCAGGCATGGAGATCAAGTTGGCATTCAAATAAAGAACAAAAAGTCCTACAGGTACATGGGGAGCAAGAAAATTGAGCTCCACTGTGGTACCCCTACTGAATATGGAGGGACAGCCCACAGGGATCCCTACGAAAAGACAGAGCTCCTAAATGAATACTTTGCATTGGTATTCCAGAAGGCTAATAGGAGCTGTGCACCCATCCAGAGGCCCAGAGAACATGACGAAGACTACAGACAACATGAAATCAGTCCCAAACAGGTGAGGGTTCTCTTAGAACATTTGGACGTTTTCAAGTCTGCTGGGCCAAATGACCTACATCCAAGAGTCCTGAAAGAATTGGCTGAACTTGTAACAGGGCCCTTGGTGAAGATATTGGAAAAGTTGTGTAACTCAGGGGTGGTCCCGGATGACTGGAAGAGGGCCATTGGGGTGCCTATCTTTAAGAAAGGGAGAAGGGATGACTCTGCAAACTACAGATGGGTCAGTTTGACTTCAGTCCTTGGAAAAACTTCTGAAAAAACTACTAAAAAGGCCAATCACAAGCTTCTAATTGACAGGGTGTTAAGAAACAACCAGCATGGCTTTGTGGAGGGTAGATCATGCCTGACAAATCTGGGTGTCCTTTTATGACCAGGTAACTAACCAGCTGGAAAAGGGTCATGAGGTAGACATCATTTACTTTGACTTCAGTAAGGCCTTTGATTCCATCTCCCATGAAATTCTCTCAATCAAACTGGAGGGTACTGGACCAGCCTACAGTGAGGTGGGTGGATAACTGGCTTAGAAGCCGGTCCCAGAGAGAGATAATCTACTGGACGGTCTCACCCTGGAGGACTGTCTTCAGTGGTGTCCCACAGGGATTGGTGTTTGGACCCATGCTTTTTAACATATTTATTAACAACTTGGATAAGGGGTGGAATGCTCTATGATTAAATTTGCGGACAATACCAAACTGCAGAAAAATGCGAGCACACCAAAGGATAGGGTAAAGATCCAAGACAACCTTGACAGATCAGTTCTATGGGCTGATCAGAATCAGATGAGGAAAACAACAAGATGAGGAATTCAACAAGGAAAAGTGCCAGGTCCTTCGTCTGAGTAGGAGGAACCTTCACTACAACTATAGGATAGGCAGTAGCCCACTAGCTGGCACGGCATCTGAGTGGGACCTGGGGGGTCATAATCAACCATAAGATGAATATGAGCCAACAGTGCGAGCAAGTTGCCAGCAGGGCAAACAGAACTCTGGCGTGCATCAGCCGATCTGTTGCCAACAGATCCAAGGAGGAGCTTCTCCCTCTCTACTCAGCATTGGTGAGGCCGCAACTGGAGTACTGTGCCCAGTTTTGGGCACCACACTTCGAGAAAGATACGGATCAACTTGAGAGGGTGCAGAGAAGGGCCACCCACACGATTAGAGGCTGGGAGGATAGGCCCTGTGAGGAGAGACTCTGGGAGCTACACTTGTTCAGGCTGGGTAAGAGGAAGCTGTGAGGTGACTTGATAGCTGCGTACAGATATGTCGGGGGGGACACCAGGATTTGCGGGAGCAACTTTTCAGGAAGGCACCCCTTTGGAGAATGAGGACCAACAGTCACAAACTGATAGAGGGAAGATTTAGGCTGGACATAAGGAAGAACTTCTTCTCCATAAGGGTAACTAGAACCTGGAACACACTCCCGGCAGAGGTGGTGCAGTTGCCATCCTTGGAGGTGTTCAAGAGGATGTTGGATAAGCACCTCGTTGAGCCAGTTTGAGCTCTTTAACCTTCTGCCTATGGCAGGGGACCGGATTTGATGATCTTACAGGTCCCTTCCAGTCCATTGACGCCATGACTCTATAACATGGTTGCTTTTCTATCACCAGCACCACCAGCATTGCTACTGGATAGTCCCAGACAGGGTAAGAAGAATGCCCTATGCAGTTGAAACTGTATGGTGGATTTAAAGTGACAGAACACAGTTGCCCATGCTGGAATTTGGCCAGGATGCTGCAGCTTTCCCAAGGTGTCACTAATTCCCTAGCTTACATAGCAATGGGTACCATTACTTCAAAATCAACAGAAGCAGAAGTGTGAAAGCATCTCTAACTTTAGAATCTCAAAAGCAACAGAACAGCATCCATGCAGACTTTACTTACCTCTTCCCTGAATACAGAAGCTTGCTCCTTACAACCTGGCAAACGCTGAACAAAGCTAGCCACCTAAAATAAACATTGGAAACACTATAGTTAACATAAAATTAAAATGGCTCCATCAAATTAAGATTAATAATTGTGTCTGAAAGTTAAATACCTATTATACTAACAAGTGATACTGGACATTTCTAGAACTGGAAAAGATAAGAGGAAAAAAAAACCCTCCATTTTTTCAGTTTGTTTCCTTCGTGCATTTGACAACACTTTTTGCCTACAGTCCATTTCATTGTTTCCTGTGTATACTTAGCCAGTTCCTCCCTTCTTAAAAGAGGTCTTTATAAAACAAGATAACATTATTTTTAAAGATTTAAAAACAAAAAAACCCCAAGATATATTATTTAGAAGGGGCTCTGTCAGAAAATGAAAGTTTTGGAAATTAAGTTTTTAATCAATTTAATTTGATAATGTCCTTTATGAGGCATGGCTCAGAGAATTGCCCAAGTGTATTTTTCCTAAAAAAGTAAAACAAAAGCCAGAAGAACATGAAAGATGTAAGCACCATGCAGAGAGAAGTTTTGTGGTGATACAATGGCTATAATTAGGATTACTAGGATAAAAAGAATGAAAATTATTTTTATGTTGAGTAACAGGAAAACTTTCTAATGGTGAGTATAATTATACTGTGGAATAATTTCCCCAAGACTGTAGAGAACATTCAACAACTTAGGTTATTTAAAGCTGGAGTATACAGCATAAGGATCACTCCTGCACTGGAGTGGAGAGCAGCAGGAAAAGGAAACAGCCCAAATGGCTTAACATATATTGTCTTTTCCAGCTGTAGCTTCCATGGCTCATAGGAGATTTGTATATTGAGGAATAATCTGATCAAACATCTTACTAACTGGATGTTCTCAACGGGGAAATAGCTGTTTCATAAGGCCTGTTCATTTTAGTTGGTACAGATACAGCATTTCTCTCACTAAGACAAATGGACAAACAGCTAAAAAGCGACACTGTCAGATACCATTTCCTCCTTTTGCCTTTTTAATTCTTGATGGTCCAACCCACTTCTAAACAGTTAGCATATAGGGGTTCGTAGCAGGTAGATCATGCCTGATTAATCTAGTCTCTTTTTATGACCAGGTTACAAAACACCTGAACGCAGGAGTAGGGGTTGACGTCGTTTACTTAGACTTCAGCAAGGCCTTCGATACGGTATCCCACCCCATGCTGGTGAACAAGTTAAGAGGCTGTGACTTGGATGACTACACAGTCCGGTCGGTGGCGAATTGGCTAGAGGGTCGTACCCAGAGAGTCGTGGTGGATGGGTCGGTATCGACCTGGAAGGGTGCGGGCAGTGGGGTCCCGCAGGGCTCGGTCTTTGGACCGATACTCTTCAATGTCTTCATCAGCGACTTGGACGAGGGAGCGAAGTGTACTCTGTCCAAGTTTGCAGATGACACAAAACTGTGGGGAGAAGTGGACACGCCGGAGCGCAGGGAACAACTACAAGCAGACCTGGACAGGTTGGACATATGGGCGGAAAACAACAGAATGCAATTCAACAAGGAGAAATGCAAAGTGCTGCACCTAGGGAGGAAAAATGTCCAGCATACCTACTGCCTAGGAAATGACCTGCTTGGAGGCACCGAAGTGGAAAGGGATCTTAGAGTCCTAGTGGACTCCAAGATGAACATGAGTCAGCAGTGTGACGAAGCCATCAGAAAAGCTAATGGCACTTTATCGTGCATCAGCAGATGCATGACAAACAGATCCAAGGTGATACTTCCCCTCTATCAGGCGCTGGTCAGACTGCAGTTGGAATACTGCGTGCAGTTTTGGGCGCC